AGATTTCCAACAGATGTCAATATAAACCAATTTTGTGTGGTCAAACGCCATTGAAAAGAAGCTGGAAGTGGTATGTAAGTTAATACAGGCCTATGCTATTTCCGTTCAATCTACAACTTCTCACCATTCTAGACCACCAGGAAGTCAGCTGTCTCCCTGTGGCCGACTGAAAATGGGCTAAATGCTCTAAAATAAAACCATAGCCTATGCTTTATCTCCCCCTTCTCATGAAAAGGTAAAAATTATGATTTATTCACCTGATTATTGAAAGAAGACACAGAAGAACAATGTGTGCAGTGTGTCTGCTGGCTCCTCTTCGGCTCTTGAACTTTCCCTTGTGCTCTTCTGCTCAGCACCCCCCCCCCTTTTTTTTGCTGCTTTCTCTTTTCCTTTACTTTTGTTCATCTAGTGAGTGCATTTGATCTACACACAGCACACAAGCATAAATTGGCTACAGCAATGGTTTGAAGATCTGTTAATCTGTTGGTCGACTCCAGTTGCCTGTGCTATGATTGTGATTGGCTGATTTCCTCCCTAGGCTCTTATTCTCCAGGGTATATTTTGGTTTGTCCATCTGAATTTACATGACCAAATCGTAAGGCAAATTATTCAGTATTCAGTGCATGAAATAAATGTAAATTATTATTTATTTATTTTTTTGTAAAAGCTCCCCTCAAATGAACAGAACATGTGTTTTATGATCACACATATTGCTGTATGCTTACAATTTACTGCTGAAAGCCAAAAATCTCAGACGCTCTTTGTATTATTTTATAAAAATAGTTTTTACAGAGCAGATCACTGAAGAGACGCCATCTGTTTATAGTTTATAGCCCAGATTTGTGGAAAAATGGGTCGACTTTCAGTAGAAAAAAAAGAGTTCAGCTTCTTTTATTATAAGGGTTTAAAGTTACATCACCCATCTATTTGACTGGAAAGAAGACAGTTACAGCTCTCATATGACCCCCACCTTCTGAATGTAGCTTATGAAATATGAAAGTTGTGAAGAATATGACGAAGTGCGTTTTGGAACCACCAGTGGTTCCAAGGAGTTCAAGAGGCTACTGAACCAATCAGATTCTCTTCTCACAGTCTCAGCGTGCTTACGTTCACTTTCACTTTCACTCTTCCAATGTTAAACACTTAGATCCTGAAACACAGACAGTGCACATAAAAAAGGTTCATTTAACAAATAAAAACAGTACTATAATGATTTTACAGAGCCATAAAACACACCAGGTGAATTTTTCTACAGTTTAGACCTATAGTTAGATCTGAAGATGCAGCTATTCTTTAAATTCTTTAAATTAAAGTAAATGAATCGAATTTTAATGTTTTGTGCATTGATGTAGAATCTTAAGAGAAATCCCTCTAATGCATCGAAGGGAAATTGATAAGCTAATCAGTTCTTTTTTTGCTGGACTTGTCTTGGATTAGCACCGAAGTAATGCACAAATGATGGTTCCTTTGTTGCTTCAGATTTCTGAAACATTTTTTTTGTGCCTCAGAAACACTGGAGAAGACAAAGTACAACTGCTATAGATGATGGATGTGGGCTGCTACGCAAGCCAGACAACTGGGCCGTAGCATTGCTCGAAGCCTCTTTCTGGGGAATGTGCTGAAAGTGGTATGCAAGGAGGTTGAGGTGCATCAAGAGCTGAGGCTTCCATGCTAAGCTACAGGCTAACCCTATCTACCTGGCTCTAGCACCTCTTATTTTCTCTAATGTCTGTTCTTTCGACAATGAACAGGACCAAACTGCAGCTTACCTCTCTGGGAAATCTGGAATTGCTGCGTTTTTGTTTTTACAAAAGTGTTGCTCAATGACAGCATTCTAGGTACAGTAGTTCAGTTAGTCTGAATAGGCTAACACACACTGCACCAAAAGGGTAGCAGCTCTTTTAAGACCCACATTTTAACACAATGAATGGTGCAGGAGCACTATAGTAGTATCAAGTCACTGCTTGGCATTGGTGGAGTTTTGCTAACGTAAAGAAAGTGCTGAATGAACTCTGCAGGGCTAACAAAAACCTACAGGCTGCCAGTGGCGCCCCTCCAAATTTTTCATAGGGGTGGCAAAATGGGGCCACTGAAAATCTTAGCGTGGCAAACCAAAAGCCATAACTGCATTTCAGGAATTCCATTATGCTGTTGTAGTATATAGTTGAAAATAATGTCAATATGAGAATTAAGGAAGGCTGTCAAAATTGGCCCAAAATGACATTCAGTTATTCTTTCTAAACTTTCATAGGTTCAAACTATTTGAAAAACTACTGTTGTGCATTATGTCCATAAGGGGCAAACCAATACAACAAGAGTGTTGCAACAGATTCAGTTCCACCTCAGATTCACGTTCCTCTTCATGAATCAAGCCCCCAGGAGCCGCATTCACTGAGAAGATATCAGCACCAAATAACACTGCAACTATGGAAAGGAAAAAAGGTTCAAGGAAGGTGTAAATCTTCACTTTTGCTGCCCATCAGATTGTTAAATTGAGGCATATGACTTTTTTGCCCATTTAGTTTTCCATTGTTTCAGTGCTCTGTGTCTGTGTCAGGGGGAGTGTGAATTTGAGGAACTGAATCAAATGCATTTGGGTGCATATTTTCGAGATGTGCCCTCAGATTGCTAGTGCTGGAATGATAGGATAACTGCAGCTGACATAGCTTGTATAAACCTTTATTACAAGGTTCCACAATTTTGCTGTCTCCTGAACTTTTTAGTAGTCATCGTCTGGATGGCAGCATATGTTGCCAAAACATGTATATATCATGCGGCATTAATGGTGCCTTCACAGATGTGCACGTCACCCATGCCATGTGCACTAATGCACGTCTGTACCATCATGAATACTGGCTTTTTCAACTGTGCACTGATAACAAGCTGAGTGGTCTTTAGCTTGGAGGACACAGTGTCCATGACACTTTTCCACTTCACCTCAGTCCATTTTAAATGAGCTTGGGCCCTGAGAAGGAGGCAGTGTTTTTGAATCCTAGTTATATTTGGTTTCTTTTTGTGTTTTTGAATTTTCAGAAGTGTTTCTGAGCTCATGCAGTGATTTCCTCTACAGAATCATGTCTGTTTTTAATGCAGTGCCGCCTGAGGGCCCAAAGATCACAGACAGCAAATACTGGTTTTTGGCCTTGTCCCTTACATACAGAGATTTCTCCAGATTCTCTGAATCTTTTAGTGTTATTATGTACTGCAGATGATGAAAAGCAAAAGTTCTTGAGAAATGTTATTCTTAATAACGTTTCACCATTTGATTGTGCAGTCTTTGACAGAGTGGTAAACCCCTCCTCATCTTTACTTCTGAAAGACTCCTTTTTAAACACAATCATGTTACTGACCTGTTGCCAATCAATTTTAGCATTACACAACTGTACCAGCCTTTTATTTTTTTTTGTTGCCCCCTTCCCAACTTTTTTGGAACTTGTGTTGGCATCAAATTGGACATGTATTTTTCAAAAAACAATTGATATGTTGTCTTTGTACTATTTTCAGTAAAATATAGGGTTTAAATGATTTGCGCACTATTGCATTTTGTTTTTATTTACATTGTGCACAGCCTCCCAACTTTTTTTGGAAATGGGTGGTTTTACATTTGTGATTGTTATGAAGTTTTCATTAGTTATCCACCACTTTGTCATAATCATTAACATCACTGGGAACAGTAAACATGAATGAACGGAAAATACTGTCCAGTTCTTTCCAGAGTAAGCCAGTTAACTTGAACCTTACCCTCTTCCTTGTTGGTCACAATTTGAAAATGCAAAAAGCAGTGGATTTACAGCAGCCATAGAGCAGGTTTGCTGAAGTCAGGTCTTCAGAGCATGAAATTTCAGTTCTTCTACCTTCAATAGTTCTTTCTTGGGTGCATTGCACTTCTGGATACACTGATGGATTAATTCCTGCACTGTAGTGGGGTTAGGCTGTGTAAAAACACACCTCTTGTCACTGATTTCAATGAGAATGATGCGTTGGCAGACTGTAGGCACCAATGTATTATAAAAATTACAGTCCATTTTCTGTTAAAAAAGTTAACAAGAGTTGAATTTGATGTTGTGCTCTCTGATGCATCTATACATCATCCACTAGGATACTTCCGATACGACTTCAGTCAGTCACATGAATTGTGAACAAAAGCAAGGAAAAATTAATCACTCTTGTCGGCTCATATCAAGAGCTGTACAGTGCAGATATAACAGGATAGTGACTGGTTTGATTAAAACACATGCGGTTATTTTGCTTCATTTTATGAAAAAGAGCAGCAGCGTGCTTTTTGCTTTTGAGCTTTTATGCTTGAATAATTTTTCCGCTCTCCCATTCCCTGCGCAGAAACACACAGAGCAAACAAACTAGCACTGGATATCAAAATGTCTTGATATGTGGCCTCATTCTCTATTTACTCAATCACAAGCTACAGTGTACAATCGTTTATATTTGCTGTCACAGCAAAAGTTGGAACAACCCTGGTTAAGTCAAATGTTTTGTGGATTTTCTAAGTGAAAGTAAGTTAACACATCCTCTAAAGACAAACTAAATATGACATTTTTCTGCACAAATTAGAGCAGAATTTCTGTTCATCTGCTGAGTTTAACAAATTGGAAAATACAACAAAAATACAAAATACGCATAACCTTTGCACAGGCCACATTTTTTATTTATTTAATTTTTTAACACAACATATTAAATTCAGCATTCAGTAACTGTGTATTAAAATGTGCAGAAGTGTGCTCTCCGCAGAGGGTGTGTGAACACACAATGCTTATCACCACAATGTATAATTGAGACACATCTGTTTTCACATTATAACCAGAAACGGGTGTAATATACACACTGTGGAAGTGGATATGGTGCATATTTCTACATGTTAATTTTAATAATTTGTGTTTTAATACATATATACAAAGAGAAAATATTCGTCTCTGAAAACATGACGAACATGTTGATTTGTTCTATGCAAATTTATTCGTTGGACATCTTGAAAACTGCAATCCCCCCCCCCCACTGCCCCTAACAATTGAGTGAGGTACTTTAAGTACTTAATATATCATATTATATTATAATGAGTATTAAGTACTTTCCTTTTTGAAAAAGATTTAGCTTTTTTTTTGGATTGGATGGGCTACTTTCCATTGGACAGGAATTGGATAGGCTTCTTTCCATTTCCAAATATTCATTTAATCCTAAGCATAGGTTTTCAGGCTTCTACTCCAGAATGGAAATCCTACTCCTGAGCTGGACTACTCCTTTTGTAAAACATTGTTTTAGAACAAGTGCGGATAGCACACTGGTTATTCATCCATTAGTTTATTTGCAGTAATAGCTGGTTTAATTCAAAGTGTTTGGAGAAACAGTTACTTGCAGGTATCTACAAGTGGCCTTGTTGTCAAAAAACAAAAAAGAATATGTTGAGATGCTCCAATAATGAATAAATCTACATTTTAATACTTAAATTATCTCTTTGCCATTTTTATTCCAGAAATCAAAACAATAAATAACAGAAGGACTATTAAATAAAGTCCAGCCGTTTGCCATCTGTTTGACTCCTCTAAGTCTCTCTTAAGCCTTATGTTCTCATATTGCTCATCTCTAAGCTTAGAAGCCATCTCATTCATCTTTTTGTGCTGGACAGTCTGGAGCACCTCTTTTGTGTGACTGTAGCCCTGATTCTCAAACAGTATTTGACGGATTTTCTCAAATAGCTCAGTGACTTGAGTTTGGTCATTTTTGTCATAGTTGTTAAAGACATGATATCTCCCTCCGCAGGTGTCCACAAGTTTCTGAAGCTCAACACTGTTACTGATAAAATTCTCCACTGGTTTCCTCTCTAGCAGATCTCCACCGGTGAAGAGTATCATGGTGAACCTCAGAGCTGCTCCTCCGAAGCTATCCTGAATCCACTTCACGGCGTTCATCTCCTCTACTGTGAATCTCCCCAGTCTGATCACCAGCAGGAACACATCAGGACCAGGATTGATCATGGAAATACATTCAGGTGCATTGTGGGCTGTTTCGTCTGATGCTAGCCATGTGTCCATCACCCCAGGGGTGTCAATCAAGGTGATGTTCCATCCACCCACAACTTTGTTCCTTCTCTCACAGTGTGCAGTCACAGATGCTGGAGACGCCTCAACTCTGAAAGTGTCTTCACCCAGGATGGTGTTTCCTGACGCACTCTTCCCAGCTCCAGTCTTACCCACCAGCATCAGTCTCAGCTTAGGATGGTTCACCTCAGATCCTTAACAAAATAGATAATGCAAGTTGAGCTTTGGTAGCATCTCTGATGTCACAAATTTGATTTAAACATAGGGTGTAATATTTGATAACTAGTATTTGCATATTTTCTAATATGTGCATACCTTTCAAAGCGAAATACCAGATATTAAACGCTGCAAATACACCCAGCAAAGAGGTCATCCAAAGGAAAATATTGAAGTTTTTCTACCAGGAGAGGTAAAAGCATGTTTAGGTAACATTTTGATTAATAAAAAACATCACATTTATATTACACAACTCAATAACTTAAAACTAACCGGTTTGGTTAGCATTGAGGTCCACACATTTACTGAAAAATAAACCTTAAGCTGATAATATACTTCAAACTAAAGGTCTACACTCCCACAGGGTTCCTGTTGGACCTGCGGGACCCACCACAATATCATGCTGACACGGGACAAATTTTCAGTGTTGGACGTAGGAGCGGGCGGATAACCAAACCACTGCGGGCGGGAGCGGGACAAAGTGGGCATAAAGGGAAATTAATAATAAAATAAGTAACTAAGTAACTAATTACTTCCATATGTAGTAATTGGCAATGTAATTTAAATACTTTCCACAGAAGTAACTAGTAACTGTAGCTAATTACTCATTTAATGAATTTAATTAAATGCACAACACTGTAAATGACCTGGTCATTAGGACCTCACAGTCAGTGGGAGGTCTCAGAATGAAAGACCCAATGTTTAGGACCAATCACAGTCAGCTGGGAGGTCTCAAGGTGTTGTTTTTGTTTGAAGTATACTGCCAACCATAGGGATGTAATAAGACCAAGATTTAAAGGTGTTAATAACATATAACAAGATGGTCTGCAATCTAACAAAGTTTCCCACAAGAATTGATCCCTTGCTAAGCCCTCCCAATTTAATCCTCATTTAAAGTACTTTGTTTTTACGATATGCCTCCTCTCGCAATCTGGTAATCTCTTCTTTCAGCTGGTCCATATCTTCTTCCATCTTTCTCCTCTTCTGTTCCTCTTCTTGTCTGAGCTCTCGTATAACTCTTTCTGTCTTCCTCTTCTCCTCCTCCCGGACTTTCTGCTGGATCTCCTGTAGATACTCATTTGTGATGCCTGGTTGTGTTTGTGTGTGCCTTTGGCTGGTTCTCTGATTTTCCATGGAGGCTCTAGAGGTTGCAGACATAATAAATGCAAAATGAAGATAAAACCAAGTCCAAAAAAAAGAAAAAAGTTCATGCTACCAGAGTTTTGGACAGTTACCACGGAAATAGGAACAATTTCTAAATTTCGTATGAAAAATATACAAATTTTTGGTAAAAGTAATTTCAGTTACTTGTGATTGAGCAAGGTTCAAGCATTTGCTGAATAACTAATGTAATTGTGAATAATATCAAGCTGTTTGACCAGCCATGTTTCTGGAGATGGCGGTCAGTAGACTGACATGAATAAAACAAAGGCTCCAATTTTTAGAATGAGATCTCAAACAGGGCTTTGGGCTTAACAGAAGCTTTTGTTATGCCCGCTGATTCTAAATGTGTAGGGTAATCATTGCTGATTAGTTTCCAGCTGCTGGACACTGGCTATTTTACCTGAAACTGCACAGATCTGACCACCTTTAATGACGTATAACCTACTCTGTGTATGATTCGTGAAATTAACAGATTTGACCACAAATGACGAATCAGCTTCAGTGCATTAAATCAAGTGCCACCACCAGCACCTCATTTACATGTCATTTGCATGAAGATGCTCTAAGTTGTGCTTTGGTGGGTAGCCAATAAAACGACTACATTCAGTGGCTCATGAGCCAAATGCCTGTATAGTAAGTGCACTGCTCCCCCTACTGACCAAACTTAACATAAATGTGAAAAAAAAATTTAAGACAGTAGAATGATGTGATTGTGTAGTGTGATTATTTCATAAAATAACACACTGAAACACTGTATCATTACAGTGTGTGAGAGGCTCCGATCTCTGTTGTGTATTGTTTATTTTATGGGCGGAGTCAGTAGTATAAAACAAAAGCACAGTGTACAATCCTTGTACTGGATTGCCATGTGCACAAATTATTAGTATCATTTGAATTTTCTATTTGTATTCTTATGATTGGTACGACAGATGATTTCAATCATTTCATTTTGGTTAGTAAACTGCAAATAAAGAATTTGTTTTTAGGCTGTTAAACTATTACGCATGTAGACTCACTCCTACCAGATATGGGTTTAATCGTACAGATATGCCAAAGATGAAACTGTTAAATAACTAAACTGAAATTTGCTTGTGCTGAGTTTATGATCAGATTCGACCAGGGCCAGTGTGAAATGTTACAAAAAAGGAGCTAGAACTCTACCAGTACCATTAGTCGGTTTAGACAGCCTGTAGTGAACGTGTTTCTTATAGACATGAAATAATCAGAGATGTGTTTATTGGCCTAAACAGAGCTGATAGAAATGTCTAGCATTTTCAGCATAATTTTTTTGTGCCCATTTAATTACATACCAAATTTATTCATTATTGGATGGAAACATGGCTGGTGAGATAAAAAGACTTTAAAAAGAAGGTTTTAATATGTTACTCCAGACGGTTCAACACATTATACAGTGTTATATGATGTGATCTGGATTAAGGACCTGGTTAAAGGCCCATTAAAAGCAAAATTGTACTGGTACACTGTAAAGAATTTCTGTAATTTCTACAATAATGCGCCATATTCAAGCCAGCATAATACTTCAGATGTGTTTTTACAGTTGTATACAACAACAGTGTTGAATTATGGGGAAACATTTACAGCACAGGCAGATTCTACTGTATTAAACACCTTACTGTGTGGCTTCTGTAATATTACTTCTTTTACTTTTATCAGACATAAAACACATGAATCAACATCATAAATGCTTAATATAAATGTGCCAGATTTATCCAGATGTCTAATTACCATCTGCAGTGCCTGTACTAACATAAAATAAAGTATGGGATACTCAAGTGAATTCATGGACTTACTTATGTAATGTGTCATTACATAGCAGTATTTAATGTAAAAACATTCACTTCGTAAGTATAATTTCTCTTTGTAAGCATCTGATTACCAATGCTACAATAATGCTAATTTGAGCTAGCTATCCAGTCTTTACGGGATTTACAGTGTCATGTTAGCAGCATGGTAACGGTGGTGTATATTCACTTTTCCACACTGAGTTTGCTAACTTAAATACTGACTTTCGGAGCTTGTAAGACATGCATGGAATATTTACTTTGCATATTGCTGTTTTTCAGTGGATCCTTTAGCAAATATTTCAACTCACAGCCAAAGGCAGAGTCGTATTAGAGGAGCCTCTTAGAATGTTAGCTTTCTGTTTGTATTTTTGAAAAACTGAAATGAAACAACTGCTTTATTGTAATTGATTTATCTCACTTCTACACACTGTTTAAATTCAAATCTTGCAACCTTGGGAAAGCAGATATAACTATTACAACTCAAAATGAAGAATAGGATTCTGGATTTCCAGATATACAGTATAGATAGAGTAGTAGAGTTCTGTCTTACCCACTGTTAGAGAAATCGTGAAAGTGTTGTAAGGATGCATCGTCTGATGACTGCTTGAGGTCGCCATGTTTCATAGACTTAACATTGGCACCACCCCTGGAGGTTGAAGTAACAAACAAAATAATTATGTCATATGATTACAATGTATTTTTAAACAATCTTACATTTGTATTTATTGTAACATAATAAAATAAAAGCAGTAGCTGTAATATTAGTACCAAAATATATGGTATAATAACACCGGTCAGGATAACAGTGTTGACAACAGTAACACTGTTGTGTTATAATACTTTATCTGCAATAATCTGTCAATACACTACTGTGCAAAAGTATTAGGCAAATTGTTTATTTATGTCAGCAGTAACTGTGCTAAAATAAAAAGTTATTATACATTCAAGTTATTACATGAAATGGTTATAAATATGCTGCCTGATTTCTGAAACATTATTTTAAGATAATTTTGAGATAAAGTTTTGGCTTTAAACGTGGCAGATGGATACACGCAGGGCATTACAAGGCAAAATAGTCCCCAAAGAAAATGTATTTGTTCAGATTTTCCACTATTTTCCTATCACCGACATTACACATAAAGACACATGTAGGTTCAGTGTTGGTTTGGATAGTATACACCGATCAGGCATAACATTATGACCTTGTTTCTACATTCATTGTCATGGTCATAATGTTATGCCTAATCAGTGTATAACGGCTATATTTGAGCTGTAGACATTAGTGACATTTGTATTATTGATTTCTTGTAAAAAGTCTGCAAGTTTCTCTACAGTGAAATATTTCACATCAAATCATGCTGAATGCTTTTGTTTACATTTCAACCACTGAACTCTTTTGCAGTGTAGACAGTTTTCTGCAAGTCTACAATATTTATTCATACAGGTTCATTATTAATAAATTTAAAAAAAACTTGTCTGAAATGTATAAGAAATTACTCGAGCAATAAAGTGGTACTTTATCAAAGGAAATATGTAACAAAAGGCGTCTGAATTTATATTTTTCCAGAAATTCCATCAAAGTCTGCAGGGACATAAAGTCATCTGTTTATAACAGACTGGGCTTCTCATAACTGTAGTAGTCCTACACATGCTGGAGGTGAAATACATTACAGAGCAACAATAGTTGCTACAGTAGTTTGAGTGCATTTAAACTACAGAATAAAAGCATTTTACATTCCTTTATCTTCACATTCACATCACACTCGATCATATTTTACACGTACTACTCATTACTGTAAACTCTGAATTTCATATTTACATATTGAGCTATCCTCAACTTTAAACTGAATCAGTTATTCAGTTCACTCACTTTTGTGTGCTTTCAAATTAAACAAATGCACACAGACCTTTACTATAGATTAAAAACTATTTTTTACTTCTTTCAGCTATCAATCTTCCATCACATCTTTGATGACCCCCAGCCAATCCACAAGTAGCCCCAATAAATACGGGATGCAGTGAAAGCAGCAGCTGGTCGAACACAAAGACTGGTGTATTTTATGTAATATTCTTACCATAAGTAAGATTGGAAAAATAAAAATCAGCTGTAGTAAAGTTTGTCTTACCTTTTTGGTGAGCTGAGGTCATCTGTTAGCATATTATCTTTCAAACTAAGTGGGAAATCTTTGGATTCCTCATTTGAGGGCAATGGATTGCCAGGCTGCTGTTCTTCAGACATATTGTTGAAACTGAACCTGTTTTTAAAATAAACCACAAACAAACAACATACTCCCATATTTCTATTCTCTGTATCTATTCTATGCATTTTATGGTACATTTCTACAAACACATTTCCAAAAAAGTTGGGACGCTGTGCAAAATGTAAATAAAAACAAAATTCAATGATGTGCAAATCATTTACACCCTATATTTCATTGAAAATAGTATAAAGACAACATATCCAGTGCCCATGTTTTTTGAAAAATATTTGCCCATTTTGAATTTGATGCCAGCAACATATTCAAAATAGTTGGGATGGGGGGCAACAAAAGGCTGGTAAAGTTGTGTAATGCTAAAAAAACTCCTGGTGGTTGATTGACAACAGGTCAGTAACATGATTGGGTATAAAAAGAGCATCTCAGAGAGGCTGAGTCTTTCAGAAGTAAAGATGAGGAGGGGTTCACCACTCTGTGAAAGACTGCACAATCAAATAGTGCAACAATTTAAGAATAACATTTCTCAATGTAAAATAGCAAAGAACTTTTGCTTTTCATCATCTACGGTACATAATAACATTAAAAGATTCAGAGAATCTGGAGAAATCTCTGTATGTAAGGGACAAGACCAAAAACCAGTATTTGCTGGCCGTGATCTTTGGGCCCTCAGGCGGCACCGCATTAAAAACAGACATGATTCTGTAGAGGAAATCACTGCATGGGCTCGGAAACACTTCTGAAAACCTAGAACTCCAATAAAACATTATCAAAGCCATTCTGCTTTATCTACAGCAAGGATCACTTCTTCATTTCTCACACGTTTCTTCATTCAGATCACTGAATTACGAATGTGTTCCATGTTAAATTGTCAAAGAAAGCTGCAGCTCCTAATGTTGGCCACAGTGGTGTTGAATATGCGTTCATTTCATTTCAGGACGCCGGTTCGTTCACATTAATGACAGATTTGAATCCCTTACCTAAACCAGTGTGAACCACTGTCAGAGATCGGATTTGAGCAAGAAAGGATTTAAGCAAGGAGGCTTGTAATGTGAAGGTAGCCTAAGACAAGTGTGAGGCTGTCATAAGATTAAAAAACATTTAAGAACATGATGTTTATAAGAATACCACATGTTCTCACAATTATTCTCAGAAAAAAATATTTAAGAAAAGAAAATAAGAGAATTCTGAAGAAGTTATTTGAATAATACAAATTCTCATAACTTCTTTCTTAAGAATGAAGTAAAGAAAACAAAAACACATCTATAAACACCCCTTTGTGAATCCGGCCCCTGGACACGTGCGTGCATACATGTTCTCGCGCTCTGCTGCCAGCGGCACAAGATGGAGACTTTCATCTCGGTCAGCTGTGAATGAGCGCGTGTTCAACACCACTGCGACCAACGTTGGGAGCTGCTGACCTTCACTGACAGTTTAATGACAAACTCGACCAAACTGATGATTGTGGTGGAAAGTGGTGGATCTACGTCTCCTGCTCTCTGGGGGTGAGACCGGTGGTCCCCATAAATGGCTAAATACACACACACACATGAATTACTTTCGAGTTAGCATTTCTAGCACAACGCAAACCTGCAGTTAAGACGATGCAGCCACACAGCCTCCTCGCATGGGCTAAAATGACACGAAAATACTGCAGTATTTTTATCCTCTCATGAAATTGTATTAGTAATATATATTTACCTGACTGTTTACAGGAGACGAGACGTGTTTTGCCTCTTTAGCGTTCCTTTCCGCTGTTTGTTCTCCTCCTGAACTTCGTTCGTCTGTCAGTCCACTGAATATATTCGAACTACACACATCAAACTAGCAGCTCACTCTGTATTTTGAAGATCAGTTAATCTGGCGACTGTATCGTGGATGTGATTTGACTGACTTCCCAGCCAACCGTTCAGATTTCTTCTCGCGGTCTTAGAGCGTTTTCTTTCACTTTCACTTTCCCTTAACACAGCGCTAGACTTGCGCACACTCAAACTCACATGAACGCATGACCTTTGCTACTGATTTTCAGAGCAGCAAAACACAATTTTACAGCAACAAATTATTCATGCTGGAACTGATGAGGCAAAAATAATTTCAATTCCACTGCATGCAAAACACTTCAACATAAACAAATAGGAAAAAAGATGCATGTACACATTTTAGACCTGAACATATGATCCAATGTAGAGATAACACATCGAACATAAGCTTAGAGGGTATCATTCTGAAATACACTGTTTCAGGTATAAACATATTTTTTCCTTCAAAGTACCTGAACAAACAAGTTCTGGTTATTACAGAAGACTGCTTATCTTATCCCCACCTTTATCAGCTTGCACTGGAGATTTTAGGCACCCCAGCCTCCTGAGTCCCATGTGAGCGGGTATTTTCAAAGACTGGAGAAATTGTAAATAAAAAAAGAAACCAACTTAGTCCCAGCACAGTGGAAAAAATCTTATTTATGAACCAAAACTGAATAATACATGTTCGTGTCCACAATCATGACCACGCACCATTAAATAAAATGAGCCCTGCCCACCGCAAAAGCACTTTCACTGCCCTGTCCACAAGCACTACTTTCACATTCATGAGCACAAAATTCTGTCACATGTTAAATACAACATACATCAAGCCCACATGAGCCTTGTCTATGGAAAAATAGGTAATGGACTTTGGGCTGTGATAAATATAAGTAGGTTATTAAAAGCCCTGCTCGGGAGTTGGTCAAAAAAATGTAGAACTTTATAATTGCAGATAAATTAACTGAATATTTACATAACAATAAGTACCAACCAGGAATAGTGTGAATGTAATAATAATTACAACAGAATAGTTTTTTCCAATGTGCCTTATCAAGATGTGTTCTGGGTGTATTTTAAGTTTATTCTGAAAACATTACTGTTTAATGCATTGTAATAGATTACATTCCATTATTCATCACTACTTTTTCTAAGCATTCTGCTCAACTCTGGATATTTGTACCCAACCCAGCAATAAGATGTTGAAGACATGCACAAGAAACGATTCAGTTTTATCAGTTGTTTTTATTGAAATGACAAATGTTATGTTTTAAATGCACTGGAACACAGTTTTAAAATCTCTATAATAATAATAATAAAAAAAAGATCCCTTTTCCACCAGATACACGAAGCACTTTGTGGTTTTGGCCACCAGATGCCACTAATGTGCACTGTGTCATGAAGCTTCGAGAAAGCCATCACTACAAACAACTGTTCTGTTGTGCTCACGTTATTAAAGAGCGCCCCCAACTGTTAGCATCACTGCCAGCTCAGCTACTCAACATTTTACCAGTCTGGGTAAGCTTCTTCTCTTATTAGTGAGTACAACATTCCTATAACGAAAGAAAGAAATTCACACTCGAATTTAAATTACAACAAAAATGTAACAATGTAATAGCATTTCAGTTCATTCTTGATGCTTAAATATAAGTAATTTTGGAAAATAAGGGCAGCTGAATTTGGAAAACTGGATTAAAATCAGAAGACATTCAAATCAGAACACTTTTGCAGTGCTTAATGATTCTTGTTTTTTCTTCAGTGCAGAGGTGATCGACAAAGCACAAATTATAATATTGCGATACTTCAAGAAACATTTCAGACATTTGATCAGCTGGAACACAAAAACGTTTCACTGCATGATTCTGTTTAAATAAGTTGATTTGCAAGTGGTCCTGACTCTATTTCAGATGAACTGGTGTCCTTCTGATGACTAGACCATCTACATGCTGACCTCAGACACAAGAACACAACCGATGCCATCAATATGATTGCTGAAATAAGATAGTTTGCATCATAGAATCCATAGCTTTCCTCATAATTTTGTTTATTTGCCCCTATGTTTACGTTGGAATCACTCTGAGCTCTTTTAGCACTGTTCCCCTTTGTTGCCACTGTAGTATCTTCACTCTTCCCTTCTCCGAAATTCCTGTTGCTTTTAATTTAATGTTGTTGACATAATAGGCACTATTCATGTACAGCATTTTCTCAATCTTCCCCAGCAGAACTTTCACTTGTCTGTTGTTTCTGTCTTTGTTATTAAAGATGTGATACCTTCCACCACATGCTCTAATTATCTCCTTAAGGACAGGACTTTGATCTAACAACTCAAATATAGATTTCTCACCTAAATAGTCTCCTCCTGTAAACAAAACAAGTGTGTGGTTCAGTGCCCGTTCCCCAAATATCTCCTTTATGTTCTTTACAGTTTCTCGTTCGTCCTCTGCGATTCTACCCAGCCTGATCACCAGCAGTAACGCATGAGTGACCATCTCAGAGACATCACATTTGGTGATCTGATCAGTTGCTTTTAGATTATCCATAGCTGGCATGTCAGTAATTATGAGTCTTTTTCCTGCCACCACTGCACTTTCTGTCTGGCACTGCTTAGTTACTGGCAAAACAGAGAACCTCTCTTCAAATGCTTCTCTGCCCAAGATGGTGTTTCCTGCCGCACTCTTTCCCGCACCAGTTTTACCCACTAGTGAGAGTCTCATCTCAAGTTCAGCTTCAGGCTTTATAGACAAAATGTGCAATTAAAATGAATTCAGCAATGTTAGAATCACATACATTAAAGTTGAGAGCACTAAAATTTTATACAGGTGCTGTAAAATCAATTGTAAATATATATATATCTCAATAGCACTAAAGATTTCTACATTTGGATTTGGATCATTAACCAAAAGTGGCAACATAAACAACCCCAAGTGTTTCGTTAAGCTTTTATTTTCTGGCAGAGTTCAACCTTTGAACCATGGTAGCGAGTGTTAATAACTAACACAAGTAGGAATGTGGTCTATCATTTTTGAATCTGAAATGGTAGTTGCCCACTTGCTAAATGTAACAATATATATTTCTTGGCAATATTTTTAAATTAATACAACAAAGTAAAACCAAAAAAGGAGAAAAATTGACACACCTACCTAGTTTGAATATGGGCATCAAAACCACTGCACATGCACCAAGTACAAGGACATGGAAAACAACAGCCCACAGGATGAAAACATACTCTGCCTCTAAGAATAGAAATGGTCATTTTTAAAATGTAAAATTGTTTTATATCAGAAATCTGTCTCACTGTTGTACCCCTTCCAGACTGTCTTGCTATATGGATATATTTGTTGGTAACAACTATATAGTACATAAATTACTGATTTGCTGCATACCTGCACACAAAGATCTCCAGAGTGGGGTTACATACTGCTGTTTAAATTATTAAGCTCCACCATCGATTTTATGAGATAATTGGAAATATATGATACCTACATTTTCTGCTAATCTTTATTAGACTACGTCAACACGTTCACAAGAGTCTGGAGGTCAAGAATTGTTAAAAAAATTATATTTGTAAACATTATGGGTGCCACATACCAATTAAGTTATTTTGGGTTTAGCTTAAGTAACATAAATGCAAACAGATTGAGATTGCTTTGGCCAATTGTCATGAAACTTAAGAGTCATATACCTTGCATAATTTTGAGGAGGCCCACCAAGTTTGACACCATTCAATAAGGGTGCTATAACAAACAAAAATTGCTTGTCTGATTTAGCTGAAGCCTCGCATGCTGCTTCTTTGATCCTCTTTATAACTGAGGTTTTAAGGACAACTTCATTGTTGGACACGTTTCGCAGCCATTGGACAATACGCTTTCACATTGAAATCAAGTACAAGTCTTTAAAAAAACTTTAAAGTTTTCCTGCAATTGTTCAAAGTTTGAAAAATTAGCTTTTCAAACTAATCTGTGGATTTTAATCAAGTTGTCTCGAAATGTGGAATTATTAACAGAATCTTGTCTTTAACTCACAGAGTGCCTTCAAGACATCAATCAAACTGTTTGGCCTGGCTGTTTCTGACTTAAAGGGCTATAAATCCAAAACTTCTGCTCAGACTGTGGTACAATTTGGAAAAAATGAACACAACTGTCATCTGAGGAAGCAGGCAAAATTTAATTTAAATTAGTCACAATATGCCCCTACAGTGCTCAATCTAGTACTGATTTCTAAAATGTCGTTATTTCTCTCTATAAGTAAAATAATGGAATGATAATGGTTTAAAATTACACATCTCATTAAGACCTAACACTTTGCAGGAAATCCTGTGATTTGATTTGAACCCATCTTGGTCACAGATTCAGGTGTTTTTGTATTTTTCTGATCAATACAGCTTCAGTAGTAACTGCAAACTGTGAATGTCAAACATACACACAGTCTTAAGCTTTACTATATTTTTCTTGTGGCACAAAAACATTTTTGAATGTTTTGTATTCTACTGAGCCTGACAATTTTGCAAATACAAGTCTTTTTGGCAAAAGTGTTCCGGCAAAAGCTTAAAAAGTGACTATTCTCAGGATTTTTATTGCATCCATCTCAAACAACCAAAAACAACTGGCGAAGTCTCAATATCAATAATTATTTTTAAAAAATTAACTTTCAGCACTGCCACATATGGTTGTAAGGTATGAATCAGTCTGGACTGGTTTGTTCTTACACAAGAGGTTAAAGAAACAGCAGTGATGCTCTGATTTTGACCAAATTTAATACCCAGGTACACAATAATCAGCTGAGGTGGCCTTCAAAATTTGGCTTAAAGTGGTCACAGCTGGCCCTTGCAATGCTCAATCTAAAGCCAACAACCTAAAATGTCATCATATCTCTCTAAGATTAAAGTAAGAAAACAATAATGTGTTCAAACATCACACCTCATAAAGACTTCAACCTTTGCGGATATAGGTATGCCTCTAAATTACACAGGAAGTCAGGTTTAAATACATGATCAATGAATTATAAAATATTGCCATATTTTATACAGTCACTAGAGTGAGATCCAACAGTAATTGCAAATGGTGTACTTCAAAACACAGACGCAATCATATGTCTTGCTGTGTTTGTGGAAAAAAGTCATGCTTTCCACCAAGTCTGAGAACTTTGCAAATACAAGTCTTTGTATTACAGTGGTTACAGTTCTTCTGCAACTGTTAAGTTTAAAAATTGATGTTTTCTTACTACTCCTTGAGTTTTTATCCAGTTATCCAAAAATTGCTCTTTAAAAAAATCTGT